GTGACTTTAGTTGACTCAGGGGAATCAACTGTGATCTGACCTGACTCATGATAATCAACTGTGACTAGACTTGACTCATGACGATCAGTTGTGACTTGACTAGACTCATGAATATCAGCTGTGACTGGACCAGGCTCATGCTGATAAACTGTGACTCGATTTGACTCATAACGATCAACTGTAACTAAACTCGACTCAAGAAGATCAAATGTGACTAGACTTGACTCATGAAGATCTGTTGTGACTTGACTAGACTCATGATAATGAACTGTAACTTGACTTGACTCATGACGATCAACTGTGACTAGACCTGACTCATGATGATCAGCTGTGACTTGACTGAATTCAGGAAGATCAGCTGTGACTTGACTGAACTCAGGAAGAACAACTGTGACTAGACTTGACTCATGACGATCAGTTGTGACTTGACTAGACTCATGAATATCAGCTGTGACTAAACTTGACTCATGTTAATGAACTGGAACTTGACCGGACTCATGACGATCAGCTGTAACTTGACTTGACTCAGGAAGATCAGTTGAGACTTGACCTGACTCAGGGAGATCAGCGGAGACTTGACGAGACTCTGGGCTGGCGGCCAACTTATGACTGCGGGAACGCTGCACTGCTCCTCCGCAACTCCCACAGTAAAAGCAGAGCCACTCAGCTGCAATGCCAAGTCAATATAAAATTCCAGGGTCCAGCTTGGGTCATGCAATGGCATGATTAATCCAAGTGACTCAGACAGTCCCCCTCGAAAAAAGATCATAAGGGATACCTCAGACATTCTGGTTTGATGAGCGAGCTCAATGAAGTCCATGACATACTCCTCAATTGGCCGATCACCTTGACGAAGACACATTATCTTAACTGATGCTGGATCCATATTGGTCAGTCGTTCTTTGGAAAAGGGTCGAACAATGGCAAACAGGTATATGGCGGGCAAAACACAAGAATAGTCCCAGGGCTAGCGTAGGTCACCGATCGGCAGACAGAATCATAGGGGTGAGACAAGAGGGAAAAATCCAGGAAAACAGGCAAAGATCAGAAACCGCGAAAACAGGCAAGGCAAGGCAAAACAAGGAAAACACAGAGACTCGGAATGGGGTACGGTCTAAACAATACTCAGCAGAGAATGGCAGTTTGAGTGGGTTTTATATAGTGAGTGAGGTGATAAGAAACAGCTGTGTGCAAACCATGCAATGAATGATGGGATATGTAGTCCGGGGTGCTATGCAACCGTTTGTGTTGTGCGAGAGTCAATGTAATGGAAAGGGTGACCTCTGGTGGTGAATAAACGGAAGTCCATGGACCGAATTCATGACAGACATATAGGTGTCGTCTTCTTTTTTCATTTTATTTGTATGGCACTTAATACAATACTGCTTGTGTCAAAGCAGCTTTACAGTGTCAAACAGGAAAATAGTTTGTCAATACTGCAAAGAGGACAATAACAGAGTCATTTTTTAGCTAAAGTCTTCTGTAAATCATGGTAAAAATGATTATTTTCATTCATCAATCATTATTTTTTGCTCAGAAAATAAATAAAATTAATCAGAACATGTTCTAATGTATGGAAAAACAATAAAGATGCATTAAACTTTTGTTTTGATTCTTCTTGAAAATCCCTTTTCGTCTGACCCTTATGTAAATCCACTGCGTCAGAGACCGGCTCGAAAAACAGTCATTTGCATTTGCATATGCTTTTAATATAACTGAAATAAAACACAGTACACTTTGATAAGTAAATTATGAAAGACGAGCGACATGATGAACTGAAAACGAGAGATTCGCCACGAGCACCACCTGTGACAGTTTTTCCATTTATTAAAATAATCTACCTTCTAACTACATCTAACTTACTAAATGGTAGGAGCGTTGAACTGCTCACGTATAGATTTGGTTGATTTGGTGCTAAAAGTTGCTAAATGACGTTGTGATGTCATTGCGCGCAATAAAGTCATTGCGTAATCACGACGCAAAATTGTCACAACATCAAATCTCAGCTAAAATATATATTTTATATTTGTTAATTTATATTTTTTTGTAAAATTATTTTCATAATATAATATTAAAATATAAATAACTGTATTTTTAAATACATTGAATTATTGAACACCTACACATTTTTTAATGATTACAATGTAAGTTTTTTTTAATAGCTAGTAAACTAGTAATACTACACATTCTCAACAATTACACTTTAAGCAGTAGTAGCCTAGTTAGTATGCTACACTCAAAGAAAAGTCTGTAAAAATAGGGCACAATCTACTATGTTAAATCTCCAAAATCGCCTATGTTTTTTGTGTGTTTATAGTAATATTTGAAAAGTATATAATGTTATTTATAAAGAATTACACTCATATTTTGTAGTTCAAATGGGTTTCTTTACAATAAAACCATTTGTTTTAATTTCCTCCATTGTATGTGTGCAGGGTAAACATTTGAATTTGAGTATGTTAAATTTAGGCGAAAATACCAAAAAACGCCCTGAGCTTAAGTGGCTAATAATATGAAAGAATATTCCGTAGGTTTTGTTTTTTTACCTGCATTGTGTTTTCGGGTTACAGGGTTACAATGGGTAACATATTGGGTAATGGATAATGTCCTGGAAAATTACTAGTATCTTTTCTGTTTTTTTTAACAGCGTACAGAAAGATCAACAATCGCAAGTACAAGCTACTAACAAAGTGTATCATAAATGAACGATTATTCAATTATTATTACTATCATTAAATTGAACAATAGCTGCTAACTCAATTCACGTGATGTGTGTACTGCTAGGCATCTTTGGTTTCCACTTTTTGTGAAATTTGGATGGAAAATGTGTGCCTTTTTATTGTCTGAGTCACTTATAAAAAGTTGCTCAAATTCATTCATTCATTCAAATTTGTTGTTGAGAGCTTTTGGAAGAAAAAGTTGCTAGTGTAGTCTGAAAAGTTGCTAAATTTAGCAACAAAAAGCAGATTCTCTTTAAAAGAATTGTACTGGCAGCGACTTTTTTATGAATATTAAATAGGTTGTTCCGAAATTGCTCCAATGGGAGATGCGTGTTAATGAATATTTAATAAGCTTACGTTCTCGCCGTCCAATGGCGAAGGTTCTGGCTGCTGAATATTAAGTAGAATTCGTAATTTCGCTGGGCGGCGCTCACTAATGACGCCATCTCCCCCCGCCCTGTGTGGTAGTTCCACGCTGCAGTCTTGTGAATGGGTCAAGACTAAAAAAAACAGAAAGCCATCCGGTCTCTCGGCTTTAAACGGGTTACCCCCTATGTCCCTCCGTTCATTCTGGACTGTCAGATAACGGACCTGTCACGCGCCGACATATCAAGAGCTCTCAAATTTGGTGAGCGGCATCTAGTTTAATTTTCTTGGCTAGTCGGCTAACCATTAACCACGTCAGTGAGGTTTGCTGCGTTTACTGAGGCTCATTACATCCTTGCGAGGTTAAAGCGTGTTACAGGCAACACATCAGTGGCGTGATTACGGGTAGTAGGGAATGTGAGCGTGTCTGACGATATAACCAGACAGATGATTATTGATGGCCTGTTGTTAGCAGGGATGATCTGATGTGTATTATCATGACCCGCAGCTGTATGAGTATACAGACATGCATCAGACCGCTTACTCTTAACATTTTAGGTCCTACGTTGCAGTATGCTGACCAACCGCAAATCGAACAGCCAAAGTCTATTCCACTTGTTTTATTACTCCTGTTTTAAATGGATCATTATTATATAAGAGCAGGCAGTCATACATTGTGAACTTGATTTGGTGTCTAGGTGAATCGTGTCTGTTTGATGTAATGGGATTTTTTTTCGCTAGATTTAACCAGTTACCCAGTTCAGTTTTTCTTTCTGACATGCTGTGTATGTATAGTAGATGTGAAGTGTTTTGATTTGGCTATTTATGCGTTTTTAATATTTAGAGCTTGATTTTTCCATGGTGTGATATATTAATGACAGTGACATCGATGATGATGATAATAATAATGTAATTGTAACTTTCATTCTGCACATTAACTGTTAACTTGTTAAGCGTTATACAGTGTAATGCTGTTTGTTAATGGTATTATGTAGGGTTTGCAGGCGCTATTGCTGAAACGGATAGATATAGAGGTGGAAGATGACTATATAAAGTAGATATAAAGCAGTTTAATTGTGGCAAATATGACCGATACAATTTAAAATGTAAAATTGAGGAACATTTAATGCAATGCTTGATATTCACAAAAATATGAAAACTGAAAATGACCGCTTAAATTGATCAAATAATTTGAAAATGTGCAACTTTTCACAGATGTGAAATTTCACTTTTGTTGACCAGTTAACTCCCCTGACTGATATGTAGGTCAATAGTTATTTATCTATCCGTAGTTATTTATCTCTGTTATTTTGAAGTATTACTTAAGCTTTGCTATGAAGTTTAGTATTAATGATGATGATGGTGATAATAATAATAATGCATGTTTCCTGAGGGCAGAGAAAATGTAATTGTAAAAATTCATTTGGACATTTGTGTAGAGAATATCCTGATTTTTTTTATTTTACAGTGAAATATAAATGTTTCTCTTAAAATGTTTCATCATTGAGACTCTTTAAAATGATATTTAAAAAGTTTAACAGGATGAACAACTGGAATAATTATGGGACTGGTATTATGTAGGGTTTGCAGGCGCTATTGCTGAAACGGATAGATATAGAGGTGGAAGATGACTATATAAAGTAGATATAAAGCAGTTTAATTGTGGCAAATATGACCGATACAATTTAAAATGTAAAATTGAGGAACATTTAATGCAATGCTTGATATTCACAAAAATATGAAAACTGAAAATGACCGCTTAAATTGATCAAATAATTTGAAAATGTGCAACTTTTCACAGATGTGAAATTTCACTTTTGTTGACCAGTTAACTCCCCTGACTGATATGTAGGTCAATAGTTATTTATCTGTCCGTAGTTATTTATCTCTGTTATTTTGAAGTATTACTTAAGCTTTGCTATGAAGTTTAGTATTAATGATGATGATGGTGATAATAATAATAATGCATGTTTCCTGAGGGCACAGAAAATGTAATTGTAAAAATTCATTTGGACATTTGTGTAGAGAATATCCTGATTTTTTTTATTTTACAGTGAAATATAAATGTTTCTCTTAAAATGTTTCATCATTGAGAAATTGCTTTTTTTTGTTTGAGACTCTTTAAAATTATATTTAAAAAGTTTAACAGGATGAACAACTGGAATAATTATGGAAACCTTAGATCATAGCCTCTTTCTGTCGATTGTTTTCCGTGTAGTTTTGTGAATTAGTGTCTGCTTGACAACAGGTGTCTAGTTGTCTGTCTACCTCTCTCTTGTGGTAGTCATGCTATAAAACCTGCCATATCAGCAGAGTGAAAATGCCTGTCAAGTGGAAAGATTTGCTCTCTTTTCCACTAGTGTGCAGGTTAGCCTGCATTCCTTAATATAGAGACATTCAGATGGAATGTGTTTAAAAAGCCTCTGGTAAGGGTGCTCCGATCCGGATTTTTGGAGCCGATCACCGATCTCAGGAAGCAGTATCTACCGATACCGATCTTTTTGAAGCCTTCTTTTTATCATGTAGAATTATTTATAGTGATATTCCAATCAGGATTTTTACAGACATTCATTCAGGGCCTGCATTTCATTTTTGAAAATGAAGGAATTTCCCATCTTATGTGACTCTTGTGGGGTCCCCTTTGTTTAAAAAAATATGTAATTGTCTCACCTAAATGTGCATTTTTGTTTTTACAATGGGGTAATTGCTGCACAATAGTTTACACACAGCACAAGCCTGATTTCGTGATCTGTATGTGAGGTGGTCTTATGTGTGTGCGCTTTGAGTGTGAATGGCCCCCAACCTTTTAACTTGTAGAAACTCACGGTTTGGTCAGTAGCTATTGCCTCTCTATGACTAACCTAAGTGTTTTCTATAAGTCCTTTCAGTGTTTTTACAGGGTTCCCGTAGGTCCTTAAAGTCTTAAAGTATTTTAAATTCATTCAAGTCAAATTTAGGGTCATAAAAAGCCTTGAATATCTTCAATGGTATACAAAAGTCCTAATTATAATTTTAAGAGGTCTTAAATTTGGGGACAGAAAAACAGGAATCACAATATACCCTAATGTGATGATTAAACAAATCTCATTTTATTATTAATCACAACCTTATTATACAAAAGACAATGATTTAATTAAATAAATATGAGCACGGCATCTTTCAAAGTAAATACTTTTAAAACTCATTATTATCGTGTCGGCAAAATACAATATCGATCAACTTCTAATTCGTATGTATTGATATATTAGTACATAAACAAATTTACAATACATGTATTGAATGCAAAATAATCTGAGATGCATGATTTATTTTGATATTGTATATGTTTGTTCTGTATGGACATACTGTATTTTATTTGTGCATGTCTTAGATTTGTTCTGGTGCTCTTCGGTCAAAAGTCAAATATTTTCTGTTTTGAATTTTGAAAACTCACAGCTTCGTCAGAATGGTACGAAACTTGGTGACTTTTATGGCATTTGGAATGTGAACCCACAAAAAAAATTGAGGGCATGATTCGAGCAGAGCAGACTAAGTGGTCGTAAAAAAATAGTCTCACTTGTGGTCTTCAGTCAAAAATGACCGACCATAGGAAATGAATGGGAAATCGACAAAAACATTCTGAGAATCATCAAGAGTGCAAAACCAACACACACACACTTATATACATACACACACACACTTATATACATACACACACACACACACACACACCTATGAACTGGTGTGACTGTAACACAGCAAATATGTCAAATAAAAGTAGAGCTGCACCGATTGATCGGCCAGTGATCAGAATCGGCTGATTTTTCGCATGATCACCCCGGATTGGTGACCGGCCTGTCAGTCTCGCGTTATGCCGATTCCGAGCTGATCCTTTTATTGCAAGCAGCGCAGGCAATGGCGTCACAGCCATGTGCACACTCACAGTCGCATGTAAACATGTCGTTTCGCGTGAGATTGATTCTAATTTTAATTGAATTCAGTGTGAACGGTGACTGATAATGTATTTATGTCGTGCCAGATGAGGCTTGCACAGCCTGAGTGAGTGTGTGAGAGAGACAGCACACACAAAGTAACAAACAGAAATTTATAGATGCATACTGCGGTAAAAAAAAAAAAGAAGATATTTACAAAACATGATTTAGGTAAGCAACATTATACGGCCATGATGTTTCCCTGAATATCAATATCAACGTGATTGCAATGTGACACTGATTTTATACAATAGTATTTCAATAAACAAGAAGTTAAAATTAAGTGACTTAGGTTTTAGACAAATTATTGACTGTTTTTGCTAAATTTCACTGACGAAAATAGTTCCGATCAAAGTCACAGCAGGACTGTTGTGTGTCTCCGAGCAACACACAGCAGTGTTTCGTTACTGAATGAATTCACGTTTTTGAACGAATCGAGTGAGTCAATAATTCAGTGGCCCATTCATAAGGACACTTGCCTCGTTTCTGAATGAATCAGCCGTTTGAATGAATCGGTTGAATGAATGAATAAATTACTCACTCATTAAAACAGACATTTGCCACCACCTACTGGCACACTATTTGTGTAAAAAAAAAAAAAGTAAAACATTAATCTTATAAAATTAGTTATGCATTTGAAATTTTGCAGTGTAAATGCATTTATGGCACCTCAGCTTCATCAAACTGTGTGTAAAAATGCATCTAATGCCACTTCAGATGCAGCTTCTGTTTCCTCAGCAGTGGAAAGATAGAGTTTGTTAATTTTATTTGAATGGTAACAACTCTACAGTGTCTTAGTATTCTAACTGAATTAATTGAAACAAAGTAAGAATTTAATGTGAAAAATTACACATTAGGTTAGGGGGAAAAAATGACCATTTATAAACATAGTGGGAAATTACATCTGTTTTGTTACATGGGCCTAGAGCAACTCATTTTAAGTTAACTATTTCTTCCTCTTTCCAGTCACAGAGCACTTTAATTTGAGAGTTGTTTAAGTGAGAGAAAATCTGTAATTTAGTCCAGATTGGGGGAATTGTAATGTTTAATAATTTCTTTAATTATGTAAATAATTTTGGCGTTGAAATTTGCATAGATTTTTGTTTGTATATGCTGTCAATTATAGTTTTTAGAAAGAAAAAATCGGTATCGGTAGGTCACACTTCCAAAAAATTGGGAATCGGCCAAGAAAATTGCAATCAGTGCATCTCTAAATAAAAGCAATAATTCAACTACAATGCAGTAAAAAAGTGGACAGCAAGGAAGAGGTTACACTCTAAAACATCAAGAGTGAAAAACACACTCACTCAAACACACACACAAACATACGCAATTATACACACTCAAATGAATTGGTATGGCTATTAACATATAGCCAAAACAAGTCAGAAAACTGAAATGAGAGGTTGAAATCAAATGAAACCCAGAAGGATTAAGCTCTGATGAAACATTTCTGTTCATTTTTGTTTCATTTTTATAGAATTTTAATGTTTTGTGTAACAAAATGCTGTGTTCAGGTTTGACTGTAGTAATAATAATTCAAAAACTGACGTTTCAAATCAACATTTCAAACAAACAAAAAAATCTAAACCTTTACAAAAATGTGTCTTTGAGAATGTCTAAATATTTTTATTAAGTTGTGGGTTTTGATATATAAGTATTTATGTCTAAAAACAATTAGAGAATTTATAGGCCTTTTATATAGAGCTATATAGGAATCTATGGGCTAAACCATGGAATTGCAGATGTTTTTCTTATTTTACTCCCACCAGATGGCACTAATCTGGTTTCAGAAATGGGATTTTAAAAGCATTGACTATTTTAACATGAAATACTGCATTCATTGAAAAGTAATATAAAAATATATAAAAAAAATTTAATTATTATTTTTAATGGGCAGAAATTCATCATAATTATTGCATAAATATGAATTAGTGCCATGAAATTATCTCAAAATACAAAATAAAAATATATTACATTGATTTTACTGGGGCGAAAAAAAAGTTGAAAAAACCATTTTTTCTCTCATAGCTTTGAGTGACCTCTGAGCTGTGATCAATCCATAAATTCATGACCTGAAGACCTGTTCAGTGATTACTGATCCTTCTTGATGCAGATCCAGTGGCTATAGACAATCTCCCTTTAGACTGAATACCAGACATTCTTCTCTATGACTTATCTTGTCTCCTGAAATAGCAGCAGTCCACAAGGATCTCTTCACACAGGATCATTATAACCCTCTGCCATTATCTGAGATACAATGTTGCTGCTGGAAATCATATCAGTGTATTGTTGTGACACACAGCGTTGAGATGTGATTGCCTGTTCCAATATTAATGCTGGTTTTTAGGTGGGCTAAGGATTTCGTTTTTTAAAAGCCAAAATAACATGAATGCATGGAAAGCCAATTCCGCAACAGAATAATAAAAATATTTTTTTATGTTTTTATTTTATCTCACAATTTGGACGTATTTGGACTTGCAATTGCATGTTATTAAAAAAAAGTAATTTTTTTGACTTTATACACAGAATTGTGACGTATGAACCCAGTTTTAAAAAGAAAAAAAAAGAATAGTGCAATTCTGACCTTTTCTCAAATTTCCGAGTTTGAATCTCAATTCTGTTTTTCTATTTTTCTCAATAACATCTCCCAGTTCAGACTGTTTTTCTGCAAGTTTATACTGTATGTTGCGAGTTTATATCTCAGAATGGCAAGATCTAAACTCAGAATTGTGAGGAAAATAAATTAGAATTGTAAGGTAAAAAAAAGTCACTGCTACTGTGCAAGTTTGTGGTTATGTATTAATCCAAGTTGTGATATTCTGGTACCAATAAGTGACTATTTTATTTTTGTAATTCCATTTAGTGATGCTAGTGGCACAGAAATGACACACCTCAGGTTTAATGTGCTATATAATTGAACTTTGTTGAGACTGTAATTATATATAAATTGAATAAATATTATATTATTATTTATAATTATTATATACATGGGCTGTTTGACAGCAGTTGAGTTGTCAGCTGATCAGACGTGTGTGCTGTTCTACAAAAGCTCACCTTGCCTTTCGGTGGCCCTCATATATTAGCAATAAGTCGGTGAGGATCATATTTCCTCTGTCTCTCCAAACCACATGCGTAAGCGTAGTCAGCATAACACAGCCGACATCAGCATGGTGCGGTTAACCTCTCCTTCACACCCCCTGCTGTTTTTGATAAACATTCTCATGCAATTTCACACCCACACTGTAATTTACACACTGATCGTAAGTCAGAATTATCAGCGTATAATGCTGGAGAGTAAATATTGAACTTCTCCCTGATGTTTTGCATGAAATCAGATTAAAAAGCAATCATTTACTTCCTCATATCTACTTGATGGCAATCCGTATTGACATAAATTAACAGGTTTTACTTCTTTTACACAAGCACACTTTTGACTGATCTTTCGAAGATTCCAAAAGTACTTGAATAATTTGTCTCTGAAGAAAACCTGCTCTGTTATGTTCTGTTTGCCTCTCGACAGCTCCTTTACTGCTTGTTAAGTCTTGACATAAGGAAAACTCTTTCTGGTTCAAGCATTTACCCATTTCCATTGAGAATACTATATAATACTATAAAACACACACATATTGTGGAACTATATAGCAGAGTGTGATTTTGTGCTGGTATCTAGGCTAGTTAAGGCCAGTGTTATTTTACATTTACATTTAGTCATTTAGCAGACGCTTTTATCCAAAGTGACTTACAAATGAGGACAATGGAAGCAATCAAAATCAACAAAAGAGCAATGATATATAAGTGCTATAACAAGTCTCAGGTAGCTTAACGCAGTACAAGTAGCAAGGTTTTTAAAAATTATATAATAAATAAAAAGAAAACGGAAAGAATAGAGCAAGCTAGTGTTAGAGGCCTTTTTTGCTTTTGTTAATTGTATAATAAATAAAAAGAAAACCAATAGCTAGAATACTAAAAGATTAGAGAAGCTAGTTTTTTTAAGAAAACAAGCAGTTAGTAAATGAATAGAGTGCAAGTCTAAAGGGGCTAGTTTTTTTTTTTTAAAGAATAGAATTAGTCCGAAAGAAAGGGCCTGATCTTCTTGATGTTGAATAAAGCAAATCTGCAGGACCGGACAGTTTTAGCAATGTGGACTGAGAAAGTCAGCTGATCATCAATCATAACTCCAAGGTTTCTGGCTGTTATGGTTGATGTGCCTAACTGAATTTATATTAAGTATTTTAGTATTATATGATACTATAGTAATTATTTATATTTAGAATTATTAAACTTTTTTTATTTCAATATTTAGATATTTTTTAATATTTTTAACTTCATTTATCTTTATTTCAGTTTAGTTTTAGTCATTTTAGTACTTATTTTTTTCAGTTAGTTGCAAAGGCAACATTTTAAATTTTTGTTTGTTTTTCATCTAGCATTTACATTTTATTTTATTTCAGCTTTTAATTGTTTTAACATTTTTGTTTAAGTTAACAATAACACTTGCTGCTGTGGACAAATATTTCCATATTCTGTCCAGTGGTTCGTTCATAGCACTTACAGAAATTAACATTTCCATTTAATAGCTTTTTTATTATTATTAACTATTTCATTTTGTGAAGCAAAAATCTTCTACTGTACTTTGTGTACTTAAAGTACATCGAATGGAGTCAAATTTAAAAGCAGGTCTGCTAAAACTATCTGATTGCTATTTGCCTAATAACATGCATCTATGAACGTTTATTTAGCAAGCAAATCATGTTAAATCTGATTTCACACACTTTAAAGATGGCTGTGTGAGGATAATATCTTTCTCTGATGGCCATTTATTGTATGGTTATGTGGTGTGCTAAAGACATCAGTGATGTAATTTTCATTCATTTACCTCGTTTTCTTATCTCATCTTTCGGTAGTGCTCGACGTGTTGCTGGTAGAGTCATGACCCTGAGACAAGCCAATGGCTGCAAACAGCTGACCTTGACCATTGGCCTGACCCTGACTCTAGGCCTGCTGCAATGGCCTATAGGAGATGTTAGTGGTCAGGATGGACTGTCTCCTACGCAAGTCCTTCAGGAGCTGCTGACACGCTATGGCGACAACACCAGCATCTCTGTCCCTCAGCTCCGAGCGCTCCTCATGCGCTTAAATGGAGGCCAGAGTGGAGAACATGATGCACAAACACAGCCCACCAAAACCAATGCATCGAAGGTGAGTTACAGAAGATTTTACAGGATGTGGGACTTTACAGGAAATATTTTCACACATTTAACTGGCTGTTAGAACTCTTTTGCTTCTGATTGGCTGCTTATTGCACACAAGAATACATGTTCAGTATAGGGTTGGGCCGATAGACGATGCCATCGTCCATCGCAGATGGCTGACAGACATCACGATGTTAAGCTTTATTTATTTTTTATCCTTATCGTGAACATTATATATCCAAGCAATGGACATTAGCCTAAGACTGTTTCTAGATTGTATGTAAAATATTTCAAGGCCCTCCTTTATGGCAAGTTAAAAAGTTCCTCTGTACTTGCTGATCTGAAAGACCTATTTTCCTGCTTTAATTCACTTGGTGAATTTGGTTGGTGAGAGATGTTTCAAATATTTTTAAAGCTCAGTGTCTCACCTGATTCAATCCTGACACAAAAAAGTTTGATCTTCTCAGGGTGCTTTACAAGACGTGACAGAGGTCTAATCCTCTGCTACAGCAACTATCACAGCACCAATCAGTGAACAATTAGGTCAGATGTTATAGCGCAGAGTAGCTCACTCTGCTTTTTTTATAATCTTTATTTATATTATAAATTATCTGTATTTTACTTATATCAACCGATTAAAATTATTGTCAGTTGTCATAAATATAGATATGGCCAGATAAGTCAAGAAGGCTTACTTAACATCTCTAATTGAGGCAGGCAATGTGGCTACAGTACATCCGTCTAGTTGCAAATTGTAATCCAAGAGATTCTGTGTACTGTCTTTTGGTCCAAAAAGTAATATTTCTGTCTTATCCGAATTTAATAGGAGAAAAATATTGGTCATCCAATCTTTTACATTTTTAACACATTCTGTTAGCTTAGATCATTTAGAAGTTTCATCTGGTCTTGTTGAGATATATAGTTGAGTATCATCAGCATAACAGTGGAAACTAATCCCATATTTTCTAATAGTATTACCAAGGGGCAACATGTATATCGAAAATAGCAGAGGACCTAGGACAGATATTGTGGTATATTACAAATGAATATAACGGTTTTATATTTTAAAATGTATTTTTTCAATGTCACGTGATCCTTCAGATATCATTCTAATATGCTGATTTGATGTTCAAGTAAAATTGGCTTTTTTAAACGTTTTTTTTAGCAATGTGCAAATATTTACTCTCACTTTTGATTAGTTTAATGCATCTGTGCTAAATAAAAGTTTGTAAATAATGACAAAAAAAACTTTTGTTTAAAAAAAGCTAACTTTTTGAATGGTAGCGTATATGTGTGTAGACGTGTAGTGCATAAATTCTTGGTTTTACAATATTAACTGAACTGAGTGTTGGCAAAGCCACAAATATTTGTCTTTGGTTTAGCATTTGTTGTGTTCTCACGTCATTAAGTATTTTATCAGAGGCATTATCTCTTGTGCCACCTCTCAAGGTGTAAGAAAGTCAAGAGTAACATGTTGTAATTTATCAGTTTGTCCACAGCGATAAAAGGCCATATTGAGTTGTCATTATTTTTTTCTCCTCCATAGAAAGCATTTGTTATGCTAAAAGTCTAACCCCCGGTTTCACAGACAAGGCTTAAGCCTAGTCCTAGACTAAAATGTAAGTCTGAACTGTTTCAATTTAAATAAACTTGCACTGACTGATCTTAAAATATATCAGTGCCTTTGTTTTGCCTCAAAAAGCACACCAGTAATGTTTTTTCTAAGCACGTTTATAAAAATTACTTGGGCCTAAATGTCCTAATTGAACTATGGCTTAATCCTGACTTAGTCTAAGCCCTGTCTGTGAAACCAGGCCTAAATGTGTAACATTTACAAGGACCACAAGTGGGATATCTGCATGTATTTTTGTTTCTTTCTTTTTTTTTTATACATAATAACATGCTTCCTGGGTTTGATTTTAACATATTTTTGGTAGCTTAACAGTTGTGACCTAAATTGACCTAAGATTAAGTTCTAACTTTTTCATTAAATTCAGTGAATGATACATTTTGTGACTCCTTTTTGTAAATATTTAGTTTTTCAAAAATATAATACCTAATCCTCAGTATGACCTTGAAATATTACATTGTTAGACCTCAAAGTCAAATCTGTGGTTTCTATCCTGTGCTCCAGGACAAACTGTGCACTCTCAATACTGTAATTCAAGCTTCTCCTCTGTGATCAGTAATTGAAACCTCTGTCCTGTCCTCTGTTCTCAGTGCTTGGCTGCAGACACTTTGGCAGTGTATGGGATGAGCGAACAGTCTCGTATAGATGAACGTGGCCTGCATGATATCTGCCCTACAATCATACAGCAGCTGGACTCACAAGCATGCAAGACCCAGCAGGACCAAGAGTCTGAGAGCAGCCCCAGACCCAGTGATGCTGAGGGTAAGACTGACTATCCATTGACAGTCAATGCATAATATTAGTGATGATGCTTAATTTTTATTGTCAGCCACAATGATATTGTCATTATATACTACATGGTCATAATTATATGTACACCCTTATTTGGCTAATTCAGCTATAATTATTATAGTGTCAAAAGGGTAAAGTCAGTCATACAGGTGTGCAAATTCCTTAAACAAACATTTAAGGGAAATTTATGTACGTTTATGCACAATTACCCCATGCAAAAAGCAAAAAAGCCATAAAGGCCTGACTCTTCAAACCCAAACCTCATTGAACAATCAAGCCATGGTTTTAAAAATAATTGTTCAACAATCAAATATGGGTGTGACGTTCAGGTGGCCACGTATTTTGGCCCCGTGTCAAGGGAATATGTTACTTCTAACTGCTTTCTAATGAGATTTGTGCGCACACTGTGAATATCATGACACTTATTAACAGTTCTTGTAATATTCTCTTCAAACTCTCATGCATTGCACGTCCCCAGGTAATGCCATTTGTTAAACCTTATCAGTATAAAGTACAAAGTCTTGGCATATTTATAGCAGACTGGTTTAGTTCATATCTATTGTACACTGTAGACAATCTTTGACTTTGCCAGCAAATTAGGCTTCTAGGAAAAATACAGTGAATCAGCAGAACTCTGACTAAGAGGTTCAGAAGAGTGCAGGTGTTCTCTTGTGTTGAGCCTTGAACTCCAGTTAAAGTGTGATAAGAATAGTCAACTCTAAACACTGAGAAATGTAGAAAGGTCACTGAAATGGAAAACAAAACATTCAATCAAGTGGCATTTATTTATTTAAATTTTTTAAAAGAAAGATTGCACAAGCACATAAAACAACAGCTATATGCTACCATTCAAAAGTTTGGGGTTGTTAACATTTTCTTTTTTTTAATGTGAATGAAGTTGCTTACCAAGGCTGCATTTATTTAATCAAAAATACAGTAAAACGGTGATATTGTGAAATTTAAAATAAATATTTTCTGTTTTAATAAATTTTGGTGAAGTCATGGCCTAATGGTTAGAGAATCTTACTCGTAACCCAAAGGATGCGGGTTCGAGTCTCGTACCGGCAGGGATTGTAGGTGGGGGGGGGGGGGGGGGGGGGGGGACACCCACAGCTCTCTCTCCCACCTTCAATACCATGACTGAGGTGCCCTTGGGTCACCATACTTGGCCACATGTCACTTCACTTTTTAAAAAGAAATTAATTTTTGCCAAAGCTGAATTTTCAGCAGCCATTACTTTAGTCTTCAGAGTTACATGATTCTTCAAAAATCATTCTAATATGCTGATTTGGTGCTCAAGAAACATTGGTCCCACTTTATATTAAGTGTCCCTAATACCGGTGTACGTACATAGTAACTAGATGTGTACATAGTATGTAACCACAGTGTAAGTACATATTGGTACATATAGTATCTACAGCTCTAATGTTTGTGTAACTACACACATGTAACAACACACTGAATGGTATGTGTAAGTACAAATGTGTAACATGACTTTGGTAACAATACTTTTTGGTAATGAAAGTACAAATGTGTAACAGGACTAACGGCACTTTTTGGTAAAGAAAGTGTTACACTTTATATTAGATTTACCATGTAATTAATATGTTACACAGCAGCGGCCAGTAAATTAGGCTTTAAATATAAATTGTGGTTGGTGTCCAGAATGTTACAATTTATATTAAGTGGACAGTTCCTGAGGAGTTACCATGCAAGTACACTGGTATTACAGTGGTGCACCAACTCCAACTCGAGATCCAACTCCTCCCACTTTACATATCCCTAAACCTACCCATTTCCACCCCCTGGATCCCATTTCCACCCCTAAACCTACCCATCTCCACCCCCTGGATCACATTGTTCCAATTACTTTTATACATATTGTTGTTACAAAATGTAGTTATATATGTCCTGTTACACATTTGTACTTACACAAACCATCCTGAGGGTTGTTACATGTGTGTAGTTACAGAAATATTACAGCTGTAGATACTATGTACCAATATGTACTTACACTGTGGTTACATACTACATACACATTTAGTTACTATGTAAGTACACGGGTATTAGGGACACTTAATATACAGTGGGACCGAAACATTTTTTCTTCTTGTTATCAATGTTGAAAACAGTAATGCTGCTTAATATTTTTGTGGAAACCATGACGCATTTTATTCATGATTTTTTGATGAATAGAAAGGACAGTATTTATTTGAAATGGAAATCTTTTTGTAACATCATAAGTTATTTTGATTTGTGACTAAAGATATTTACCCCAAACTTTTGAATGGTCGTGTACTTTAAAAAATGAATACAAAAAAATATATATTGAAATGCCTTTTCACATAGTCAAACATTTTTGGATCATGCTCACAGTTAATGTTATGAAATACTGCTGTAGTTACTCTTCTAGGACTATACATCCTTAGAAATCACCAGTTGCTAGTCTAGCAAAAATGGCTCCAAAAGGTGACGTTGGACTGAGAGGAGCTCTAGAGTCATGTTTGAAGATATCACTTGGTATGATCTTTTAAGACCCATCTAATGCAGTGGCAATTTTGAGAGTGGCTTAAGTTGATCTCACTGTATAGGCATAGATAGAACACAGGCAAATATGTGCTAACACTTTAGACAATCTGAAAGAATTTTTCATATCAGAATAAGACATCTTGACTTTTAAAATGTCTAAGCATGTATATTTCAGATCCCAGCATCTGGATTCAATCACAGTGCTCTGGTCAGACTGGAGCTTTGAAGGGAGGCTGTGTGCTTTCAAAAGCCGAACTGAAATATCCCTTGTGTAGGCGACAGATATAAAAAGGCAAGACAGGGAGAGTTCAGAGAATTTCATGGGCGTTTGTGAAGTCTGCTGGGACATTTCAGGAGAGAAAGTCATGGACTTGGAGAACAGGAAACAATTTCACATGCACTTTATAATCTGTGATTTTTTTTTTTATTTATACAAACATTTCAGGTCTGTACAGTTTTTTTTTGTATTCACCATAACTTAAAACAAGCCCTGTCTATAACGGATTTTTTTTAATTTTTTTTTAATTCATTGTTGTTTTGAATCAGCCTGTGACTCAACATGTTCAACATCTGTGCAGCATGTTTTCTGGCTCAGTGATATTTCCTGTCGCTTTGCATCATGCTGTTCTTTATCTGCTAAACAAGGCACTTCTGGGTTTTGGCATCTCTTGCGCATCCTGGCAGCGAGAGAGGAAATGAAAGGAGAATGTCGCAGTGCCACTTCCCACCGGAATTCAAGAGATAAGGAGAGAGAAAAGGGGAATGCAGGCTTTTAGAGATGGAGTCTTACAGCATCCTGTTGTCAATGCAGTCTTTCCCATTCAGCTCTTAACAAAAAGCACTGTACTGGCACCATGGTACAGTGATGATAATATGAATGTGAAATGATCACCAAAGATGAGTGAATAGGATTTAAGACAGGTTGCAGGCTAGACCCAAACCAGCATCATTTGCATGAGCACCACATCTCAGTTTGTCTGTAGCATGCTCCACAACTTCAACATGATTGCAATTAATTATTTTTTTTTGGTTCTGTCTCCCCTTTCCCACTGCAGTGGGAACTGTGGGAACATTCCAGGTGTTAATTTAAAGTATTTGTTGTACTATACTTTCTACTACAACACTTTAAACTACTGAAAAATAAATCAAAAGGTACAAATACATAAAAAAAATACATTAAAGAATTTATTTTGTTCCTTAGAAAAGCACAATCATAGAATGTTTTTACAGTAAATAACTTAACAGGACAGTTCACCCCAAAAATGAAAAGTATGTCGTTTACTCACACTCATGTAGTTCCAAACCTGTATGACTTACTTTCTTCTGTTGAACAAACATAACACATTTTGAATATTATATTAATTGATATTATATTGTTGTAATACACCTGCACTGTAAAATAAAATGTAAATATTTCATCGTAAATATTAGTTATTTTTCTTTACAGTAGTAAATTTATTATGCTTTTATTTTTTTATAAGCTTTTATTATTATTATTCGTTTAATTTTTCTGGAAAAAAATATTTAGATTTTAGTCCAAATGATAGATGCTTTGCCAAAACAATGACGCAAAAAGAAAAGAAAAACACTCATCAGTTTATAATGAAACTTTTCAGTTTATAATGAAACTGTAGAGGTACAGATTAGATGGGCCACCCCAGTCTAGATAATTAATAGGAAAAACGGTCTTCAGACGACATGAGGGTGAGTAAATAATGACAGAATTGTCATTTTTGAGTGAACTATTCCTTTAAATAACTTTGAAATCTGCCTCAATGAGTGTGTTTACATGTGCACTGATTATTAATAAGCTGACAGTATGTAAGGTCATTTAAATGCTTAAACAGTGTATTTTTTCGGATCATAGTATAGGGCAAAAGCCCAGTTCTCTGATCTATTGAAGTTTTGACCTCATACCCATAAATTCAGACAATTTCAAAATCTCATGGTTTTCTTGAGATTTGGGTTTTTTCTAATGATTTTATGTATGATTTATTAAGGTGTATTTGTATGTTGCTTACAGTACACGCTGTCCCAAAGGGATATAAAAAATAGATAAATAAATAAAGTAGTGTGTTGTAACAGTCTCCGGGGGAAAAAAGTCCCTAAGACGTTGAAGTAAATGAGGAAGTGTGTTATCATTGTGTTGTTGTAGATGAAAGCACACTCAATGTCAAATATTTGTATTACTGTTGGTTATGAGTTCTTGTTATATGAAAGAAATATATTTCCTAAATGTATCTGTGTTTTGACGAATGATTTTCTTCCTCTGTAGGTACACTGCTGACAGCTGTTCTCAGCTGTAAACAAATGCAACTCTGTGGTTTTGGAGAAAGCCAGCTTATATATGATCTGTACACACACGCACCTGCTGCGGATCACTCCCACATAATGACATTCTCTCTCAAACTGCATGCGTGTCCATTCAGGAGTGTGTTTAT